CTCTTCAATAAATGGTACTGGAAAAACTGGATATCCATATGCAGATGAATGACATCTCACCCTATACAAAAATCAACTCAAAATGAAGCAAAGACCTAAATGTAAGATCTGAAACTATAAAACTACTAAAAGAAAAAATAGGGGAAACACTTCAAGACAATGGTCTGGGAAAAGATTTTATGAATGAGACCTCAAAAGCACAGGCAACAAAAGCAAAATAAACAAATGAGATTATATCAAACCAAAGACCTTCTGCACAGCAAAGGTAATAATCAAGAGTGAAAAGATAACCTATAGAATTGGAGACAATATTTGCAAACTACTCATCTGACAGGGAATTAATATCCAGAATACACAAGAAACTCAAACTACTATCAGAAAATCAACAGCAAAAAACCAATCAATCTGATTTAAAAAGTGAGCAAATGATCTGAACAGACATTTCCCAAAAGAAGACATATAAATGGCCAGCAAATAGACGAAAAATGCTCAACATCACTAATTAGCAGGAAAATGCAAATCAAATCCACAATGAGTTATCATTTCACCCTAGTTAAGATGACTATTATCGAAAACACACAAAGCAAATGCTGGAGAAGATGCAGAGAAAAGGGAACCCTCGTACACCACTGGTGGGAATGTAAACTTGTACAGCCACTATGGAGAACTGTATAAAGGTTCCTCAAAAAACGAAAATAGAACTACAATATGAGTCAGCAATCCTACTACTGGGCATTTATTCAAAGAAAAGAAAGTCAGCATATCGAAGAGACATCCTGCCATATATATTGCAGCACTATTCACAATAGCCAATATATGGAATCAATCTTAGTGTCCAACAACAGATGAATGGATAAGGAAAACACGGTGTGTGTGTGTGTGTGTGTGTGTGTGTGTGTGTGTGTCCCCGCATATGAATAAAAAAGTTGATCTCATAGAAGTGAAAAGTAAAACAGAGGGTACTAGATTTTTTTAGGACGGGGAGAACAGGGGATAGGGAGAGATTTGTTAAAGAATAAAAATTTTTTTCTAGATAGAATGAATAAGTTCTAGTGCTCTATACTAGTGCAGGATGAGTATAGTTAACAATCATGTACTACATAGTTTGAAATAGCTAGAAGGAGGATATTTATTTTTTTCAACCCAAGTAAATGCTCAATGTTTGAGATGATAGATATGCTAGTTACTCTTATCGGACTATTATATATTATGTGTATCAAAATATCACTACGTACCCCATGCTTTTTTTCAATTATTACTTGTCAATTGAAAATAAAATTAAAATAAAATTTTAAAATTTTTTTTGCATAATTAACTTATAACCAGCATGCAAATTACTGACTATCATTGGGGGAAAAAAAGTGCAGATGAAATTTTTAAATTTTCTTCGAAATAAGTTCTGCTGAATTTCAAATATTTTCTTTGAATAATCATTTTTGACAGATATTCAAGTTAATGTTAGTTTTTTTATGAAAATTAATGATGTTAATGTCCACTGGGCTATGTCTATGCAGGTGTTTCCCTACACTGTTGCCACCCCAACATAAAAATGTCTGATATATAAAATTCTGATTTTTTTCATAACACATTAGGAGTGATTATTTTCATTCCTCCTAAAACCCACAGATTTTTTTCACATAATTAGCCCTTATGAGTTTTTGACATATAATTTGATTTTTACATTTTTTTTAGGTAATACAAATTTTTAAGTATATACTTATTGTGAAAATTGAGTAGACACTATGAGAGGCATAGTTTCCAATCCTCCATAACACAGTTGTGAAATCAGAACTTATCCCAGAGGGTCTTTGAATGTTACCCCATACCAAGCCAAGCCATCTAATACCTTTTTTTGTACTGAAAACATCATTTTCATAGTTAATTAACATGGACGTTTACATCTTTTTTTCTCTGTCTCTCATTCTCTTTTCATCTATTTCCCAGCATGGGGAAGATTTTTTTTTGCAAACTAGAGGGATGGTGGAATGTTAGAAGCAAGCAGAAAGACAACTTTTTTTTAAGGTGACATTAGGAAAGAGACAGAAAAACAACCAAAATCTAACACACTTTTTTTCTAATATGCCATATATTAATGGGTACTTGTAATAATGTTTACTGAGCCTTTTTTTCTAAATTAACTTGAATTTAACATATACTAACGTATCACATTTTATTCTTTAAAGATGGCCACAATAATAACTTCTGACTATATGCTCTTCTATAAAGAGATCTTTTTTTTTTCCCATACATGGGTGGAGTCTAAGTCCCATCACCTCAAATTTGCATTGATGAACAGAATATGGTGAAAGTGAGGCTGTGTGACTTCTGAGGCTGGGTCATAATTTTTTTTACAGCTTTTATCTTGCTCACTGAAATACCTATGCTGGAGCCTTGAGCCACCACACAAGAAGTTTAACTACCTTGAGGTCACCATGCTAGGAAGGCCAAATATTTTTTTTTGTTCCAGTTGATAGCCAAAGATGAGCTCCCATCTTAGACGTCCAGCCTTTTTTTGTCATCAGATGACTGCAACCCCAACAGACATCTGACTGCAACCACGGGAGAGTGCTCTAACATGAGCTGCCTAGCTGAGTGCAGTTAGTTAACCAACAGGACCTTTTTTTACAATACTAAATTGCTGGTTTAAGCCATTAACTGTTGGGTTGATTTGTTTTTTTTCAATGGTAAATGGAACAGCTTATTTTTAAAAAAGTGCTATGTCTATAGTTCAACCACAATTCAAAACTTACTCCCGAGTATGTTTTTTGTGCTAGGAATGTGATTTTTTTGTGCTTCAAATAAATTATATTATTTAATAATCAAACAACTTTTTTTGATTTTTTTCTTCATTTAGTGAAAAAGGAAACGTAAAATACTTTTTAAAAGCTCTTTTTTTTTTAGGTGCGGTGGCTCATGGCTGTAATTCCAACACTTTGGGAGGCCGAGGCGGGTGGATTGCTTGAGTCCAGGAGTTCAAGACTAGGCCTGGGCAACATGGAGAGTTTTTTTCTCTACTAAAAATAAAAAAATAGCCAGGCATGGTGGTGTGCACCTGTGTTTTTTTCTACCTGAGAGGCTGAGACACCTGAACCTGGGGGTGGGAGTGATGGGGGATGGGGGAGGAGGAGGTCGCAGTGAGCCGAGATTGAGCCACTGCACTCCAGCCTTTTTTTTAGAGCGAGACCGTGTCTTGAAAAAAAAAAAAAACGCTTTATTGCATGCTTTTTTTTCTTGTGTTATGAATGCAATGTGTTATTTATTCTTTAAGGATAATAACTTTTTTTTATTTCAAGAATATAATATAGCTATCTTCAGAATATTAGAATATTACATTTTTTTTATTTAATTAAAGACTTTTTCTCTCTCTCTTCAGAATCTCCCTGTTACTTTTTTTTTCTCACCCTTGGACCATTATTAGGTGATTATTGGTTGTTGGTTCATATTTTAAACAAGGATCAACAATAGAAGTTCCCACTAAGAATGGTATTACACCTAGGTTTTTTTTTTGGAAATTTGTGAGGCATTATCTACTGTCACAGGGTTTGGGGATATTTTTTTTATTTAGTGAAAGGGTACTAGGAATGCTGAACATCCTATCATTATAGGATTTTTTTAACAGTCCTGTGCAACAAAGAATTGTTCTGTGTCCTGTATAATGTTTATTTTTTTTACTAGAGATTTATGGTGGTAAAACATCTGTTTTTAATTATTCAAATCTTTTTTTAAATTCCATTTTTAGATAAACCCCAAATATTTTTGCATAGTTTTAATATTTTTTTCATTTCCTAGGCTTGTACCTAGTATATAAATTGATGGAAGATTTTACTTTTTTTTCTTCAGAACTTTACCATTGGTCACCATTTTGGACAATCATTTGAACATTACTAATGACAATCTGCTCATGCTATTTAAAATGACAATACAGTGTTTCTGTATCAGTCTACATTCATGGTTGCCACATTTATGGTGATTCTCTGTTTAGGTGCAGGCATCTGATGACTACATTATATATCCTAGTATAGTTGCACTAAAGCATTTACATATTGATTTTTTTATCATTTTATTATAAATCACCTCCCTCTTATTTCTCCTCTATAGTACATTTTTTTGCCATTGATTTTTATAAATTATAGGTATAGTTAGGTAAATTATAATTTTTTTTTTAGGAAAATAAAGGGTATGTAAGAAATAGTTAGAAAAAGGGAGTTGAAATTCATAAAGAGGCAAAAGTGTCTGGAGAGACACAAAGACACAGATAAAGAGGAAAATGTCCAATCATTTATGTTTTCCCCAAGGATCTCTCTGTCTGTTGGGATGATGGAAGTTACTTAGAGCATTGCCTTACTTCTCTTTCTAGCCCAATGCTGACTCTAGAGGTTTTTTTTGACAGGTCATGTAGCTCCTTTAGAGAAGTATTCTCCTGGCCCTAGCATTTTTTTATATGCCTGAGCCAGCAGCTCTGAAGACTAGGGAACTGGTTCAGCTATTTTTTTTCAGTTAATTAACTACCTTGCTGACTGCCCCAGAGTCTGTTTCCAGTATTCACAGTCTGTGATCCTGGGGTTTTTTCCATGGTTCTGCTTAACTCATTGAGCAGTTTTTTTTGTTATATTTGAGTTTTGGGGTCTTTTGCTCAGTTGGACTGTACGTTTTTTTTTTCTCTATCTGTGGTATATTATTATTTAACAACAAGTTCCTCAATGCTGATTCCACTCCTCCAGTTTCCAGTGCTGCTGCCGATTGATTTTTACATTTATTCTTCTTTTTTTAAGAAACTTTGGGTGGAAGTAGATGTAAAAGCATGTCTTAATTAGAGCTCCATTCTGAGTCTTTACATAAAGGAAATATTCTCCTCCTATGATCTTGGTAGATTTTTTTTTTTATTGATTAGGTATCAATTTTGCTGTAGGCAAGCCACTATAATGCATTTTTTTTGCCTGACTTCAGTTTTTTTGTTAAATAAATTATTTTTTAAAAGTGAATTTTTTTAGACAACTTACAATCCATATCAAGTAAGGCACGAACAGATTTAACAAGTTCCTTAGACTCAAGCGCCAGCGTTGCTGGGATGTTACGTCCATTCCTTCCCAGCGGTGTGAGGGAAGTCTGAGAAGCTAACACAGCTCTTCTTTCACTATAAAGGCAGTAAAATAAAGTTGAACTCACTACACAATAAATGACATCTATCTTTACTAAATCTGATTTTTTTTTAGTTATAGATTTGTACAAAAATATTTCTATTTCTGAGGAAATTATTTTTTTTTACCAAAATTGAAGTAATTCACACAAAACAATATTTCTGTCTTCAATTATTTTTTTCATAATAAGTAGAAATATTTTAAAATTAGGTTGACTTCATGTATGAGATTTTTTTAATAGAAGGATGACCTGTCTCCTAAATCATTTGTTGGGCTGATTTTGTGAGTGCTTCTGTTTTGCTAATATGATATAATTTTATTTAGTTCCATATAAATTCAAAATAAGCACATAAACATGACTTTATTAAAATACATTTATTATTACTTCTAGTAATTTTTTTTATAAATTCAATATATGTATTTGCTCCTGAAATTATCTCTTAAACTATTTTTTTTCTTGCCTCGAATCAAAAACAGCCTAGAGCATTTATATCACTTCTAAGAAATGCAAATGTCACCTAAAATGAATGCATTCTGATCTAATTAAAAATCAAATGTTTTCCTCAAAAAAAACACTAAAACTTACTTGAAAAAAAACAATTTTAAACTGATGACAAAATTGTCATTATTTATAGTCCATCTTCCTAAGCATAATGATATTAATTCACATTTTTTTACAAAAGCATCAATTCTCAAATTCAAATACATAGCCTTCATTCTGTGTTTTTTTTCCAAGGCCAATATCCATGTAGAAGATATGCTATATTGAAATGACTGCATTTTTTTTTACTAGTGTTTAATTTACTAAGACATCATGAAATGTTGCTTGATGTATTTTTTTAAAGTCGTCTTTTTTTCCATGAAGCAGTTTAAGGCAAGGGCAGGCTCTGGCTTTCACATAGCCATTTTAACCTTAATTTTTAAAACAAAACTTTTGAATTATTAGTCAAGGTAAAACTAAGACCTTGGAAAGCTGAGGGTGGGTGACACACTTAACCCATATAAGAAATAAATGAGATTACTGATTATTTTAAGATCCTTACTGAGAGTAAAAATCATGAAATTCACAGAGTTTTCTTGTATCATAAGCAGCATGGAGAGTAAGAAGACATGTCAGATCCCTTCATCATAAGAAGCAAAACATTACACTAAAATGAGTTTAGATTTTTTTTATAAATATTCTTCTAAATTAAAAAACGCTATGCGGACCAAAATATCTTTTTTTTTTAAGCTGCTGTTATCACAGTAAAGGGTAGAGTATTTATTTATTTTCGTTTTTTTGGTGTCACTATGTTATCCTGGCTGGAGTGCAGTGGTATGATCACAGCTCATTGCAGCCTCAATATCCTGGAGCTCCTGGGCTCCAACAATCCTCCTATCTCAGTTTTTTTAGTAGCCAGGAATATAGGAATGTGCCATCACATCTGGCTATTTTTTTTTTTTTTTAGATGGGGCCCCACTATGTACCACTATGTTGCTTGTCTCAAACTCCTGTTTTTTTGTGATCCTCCTGCCTCAGCCTCCCAAAATACTCGGATTACAGGCATGCGCCACCACACCTGACCTCATTGAGTCTACCTGTTTCTGCAAGCGTATATTGCTAGAAGTAGAAGATGTATCTAGGACTAGTGGCAGCTATTATGAGATCAGAAAAAAATTACTTTGGAAATGCATAAACAAGAATCTTTCTTTTATAAATGTCTTTCATCATGTATTTTTTTGACCATAAACTTGTGGTTTGAAATAAATAAATTTGATTGGTGTGTTTGTTTTTTTTAGTAAGAAACTTTAAATCCAAAACGTATTATGAATAATGACACAATATTTTTTTACTCTCCAAATATATTCCTTTTGTTTATATTTACTGAGAGATGAAAATTTTTTTTAATGATTGCATGAATATGTTTTCCAAAATTCTGTTTGCCAGAACAACTTTTTTTTTGTGTTGAGTCTAACCTTTAGTAGTGAACCTGTGACCAGTAACTTTTATTTTTTTGCAGGACAATTAAAGAATTTCAAGTTAATCTCATCTTTATAGAATTTTTTTTTTTGACAGGATAGGTGGTTCCTACCACAATTTTAGATTACAAGGTTACAATGATTGACTAAATACCTCCAGGAATTTCTTTAATAGAGATGGGACCCAAAACAACATTTTTTTGCACCTATTTCCATATGATGGCATCCAATGGGAGTTATGCAGCATCTTTTTTTTTTTGAAGAGATTTTTACGATTTGAGTCACAATGACCAGATGAAGAATTTAATCACTACCCATATTCTGCAAAAAGCACTTAAATTTTCTTACCTTAAATTTGATTTTTTTTTAGAATTATCAGAAAATACTTCTTGAATTGCCTAGCAACAAACAAGATTTTTTTTGAGATATATAAGTTTGAAAGTTTTTAAAAAAGATCTTTTCTTGATTAATATTTACAACCTCCTCTGTCCACGGATTAAACTGATGTTTCTATTACATGGGGGTGGGGGAAACAATTGAACTAACATGCAATTTTACTCAGAAATATAACAGCTATAAATTTTTTTTTTATAAGGTAAATAGCTATCAAATAATGTTTATACATTATCAGGATTTTTATTAAACTATTCATTAATACAGTATATATTTGGAATCACATTACCTCGTGTCTTTTTTTTCTCTAAACAATCTATAAAATGTGAGCCAATCTTTTCAACATCTATGCTTTTTTTAATCTGATCATAAGTCAGCATTGCTGCTTTGAGACTAGAAAATGTTTCTTTTTTTACCAAATACAGTAACACTTATCTATATGCCAGTTGCCTATATATTTTTTTTTTTTGAACGTAATAGAACAGAAAAACTTGCCTCTATAAAATGAAGAAGCTTTTCAGTAGATGCCTCAAAAGTTTTTCGAGCCATTTCTGATTTTCGTAATTGGCAGTCAAGTACCATGATTCTCTTTTTTAAATCCTGAACACTTTCCTGCACAGAGATATCTTTTTTTACATTTATACATTTCTTCATTTTTATATTACTGATCCCTATTATTCAATATTACAAAATTATTTTTTTCTCTTACTGTACATATATTTTGATTTGGGGAGCATTTTTTTTACTGCATATTTAAAAGTTAATTTGCATGGAGATGCTGCAAGTTTTATGTTTTTTTCTGTATATGAGTTTATTGATTCTTATAGTAAAATACATTTAAATTAGTTTTTTTTTTTTTCTTTTTTTTTTTGCAATGTGTCTTACCAGATGCTGACAGAAACTTTTTTTAATTTAACACAACTAAAAATGCTGGATACACACACACACACACACACATTTTTTTACACACACGAAGTAAGACAAAGCTAGCAAGGACGTAAAGGAATTCCATTTTTTTTTGCAACAGCAATGCCAAGTGAACCCACTGGGGTAAGACAGCACTGAAGCATAATTTGCTTAGAGGGTATATGCTGATCCCTGGTGGCCTACAGTTTGGGGTCTTTTTTTTCACAAATGGAAAACAGAAGAACTTTAATGGGAATGAGGAAGTAGTAAATTTTTTTGAGGTAAACAGTGTTTTGATGATGGCTCAGGTGACTTGAGTAAAAAAGTTTCTCCAGAATAATTCCTAACCAAAAGTCCCCACTCACGCAGGTTTGGGGCCAGTTTTTTTATTATCTGTGTGGCCTAAAAAGCCATATGCCGAAATTTTGGTTTAAATTGGTCCCAGGCTAGCAGAAGCAAACACAAAACTCTGGAGAGAGATTTCTAAAACTTGGAGCTCAAAGAATTCCCATTTATAATGCATTGATAGAACATGACCTCACAGACTTTTTTTAAAATCAGTAAACATATGAGAAAATAAGCTCTATGAATGAAAACTAACTTTTTTTAATAAAGTACAGTATCAGATCTATAAAGAGAGCAGATATTTAAGTGAGCAGATACAGAATATAAAGCAATTATGTTTAATATGTTTTTAAAAATAAGAGGGAATTTTTTTTATAATACACAAGAAACTACTGAAATAGACCCAGATAACATAAAAAAATTTTTTTAAAATAAAAATGTAACATAACTACATTAGAAACTTTATTTATAGATTTGACATCCAATTAGATACAACTGTAAAGAGAATGGGTGAACTTGACCACAGAGGTAAAGAAACTTCTCATAATGGAACAGAAAGACAAAAATTGAAATATAAATGGGGAGAAAAGGTAAAGAGAAAACAGCCAGAAGAAGCAATAGCACACATCCAATCTGAATTATTTTTTTACAAATACAAAGAATGAAAGAGAAATCAGTCAGGATAATAGCTTAGTGTTTTTTTGAAATGGCAGAAGACATTGCTCTTCGAATTGGGAAGCTCAATGAATCCTTTTTTTTACACATTAAAGTAAGTCAACACATGATTCATCATAGTCAAACTGCTGTTTTTTTAAGCCAAAGAGATCTTAAAATCATATAGAAGGAAACAGATTGCAAACAAATGACAGATTGACAGCTGACATCACAGACATGAAATAAAAACAGTGAAAGATATTAAATGCCAACTTAACATTCTAAATGTAGCAAAAATATATTTCAAGAACAAGAGTTGAATAAAGATGTTCTTCAGACAAATAAAATGTGGAGAGCTTTTATCATCAGATCTTTTTTTCATGAATTTCTAAAATACATACTCATGAAGAAAGCAACAAAGTGAGAAGGTCTGAGATGTAAGAACGTTTAACAGAAAATGTTAAACATGGAGTCTATTAAGCTTTTTTTGACCACACAAAACAAATAATGTCTAATCTGTGGTCTTAAAAGAAAAGAAAGAACTAAAATACTGCCAAAAATGGAAATTAAGTCAGGAGGGATGATTGGATTTTTTTTTTAAAGTGCTTATAATATTTAGAAGAAGAGAAAAAAGGTACTGATTAATTTTATAATTGAAGTTAAATTAGAATGTTAAAATTTCTAGGATAATCATTAAAAATTTTTTTTTGAATGTGTAACTTCGAAAACAACAGAGAGGAATGAATGTAATGGGGCATTTTTTTATAGGAGGAATCTGAACCAATAAAAAAAATTAGAAAAGGCAGGAAATTTTTTTTTAGAGCACATGGGGAAAATAAAATGTACAAAATAAGAGGGCAGAAATCATTTTTTTTGCATGAGCAAATAAAAGAGTGTAGATAGGAAGGTCTTTCCAATTAAATTTTTTTAATTAGTAAGATGGGAAAAAAATCCAGCTACATGTTATTTACTATAGATACAATTAAAATGTATTGAAAAGTTGAAAGTAAATGTATGGTATTTAGACAAATACTAACTAAAAGAAAGCTGGTGTTACTATTTATTATCAATCAAAAATAGGCATTAATTTTTTTAGAGGATTACTAGATTGAAGAGTCATGACATTTTCATAAAAGAATTATAACACAATTCCAAGCTTGTATGCACCTAAAAACATTACTTCAAAGTATATACAAATTTTTTTTAAAAAGAGAAGCCAAAAGGGAGATTTTGCCACACTTTTATGAGTAAATAATGGCTGTAGCAGGCAAATTAATATGAACAGAGAAGAACTGAATCCCACAATTAATGACCCTGATTTAGTGGATTATATAGAACAACAGCATCCAACAAGTTCAGAATTTTTTTTAAGCTTTCTTTGAACATTTGTAAACAGACTCCAAGGTAAGCCATGAGGTTTTTTTCAACAAATTTCGAACAGTTATTATTCTATAAACTAGATTATCTGGTCATTTTTTTAGTAACCTTTCTGTGCCTCAGTGGTGTTCATAAATAAAGAAAATCATATTTTTTTAAATTCTTCCCAATTTAATCTACATATTTAATACATTTTCAGTGAAAATTTTTTTACATTTTTTTCTTTTGATGGAATTGATAAGCTGAATCTAAAATAGATAATAAAAAATCAAAGGGTCATGTAACCAACACATTTCTGAAGAAAAAGAATTAGGCAGGATGATCAGATATCAAGACTTACTATAAAAGATACAGTAAGCAACACCATGTGTTATTCACAGAGGAATATACATTGACCAACAAAAGAGAATAGAGAACCTCAGATTTTTTTTTATATGAAATATTGATATATGACTGAGATTATTTTGTAGATCACCTAGGTTTTTTTGGGCTTTTTAAACATGGTGATGACATAGTTAGTCATTTTGAATAAACAAAGAATGAAATGGATCCTCACCTCATACACTGCCACAAAACCAATTACAGAAGGATCAAAATTTAAAACTTTTAGAGGCACATGTAAAAGAATATCTTTATATCCTTGAATTTTTTTGGACTTCTAAAAAGACACATGAGGGTAAAGATTTTAAGTTAGTCTACATTTTTTTTAAAAACTCCTGTCCATTTTACCATACAGTGAAAAGGCAAGCTAGAAATTTGGAAGAATATTTTCATAACATATAATTTAACAAAGGATTAGTAACCAGAAGATTTTTTTCACATCTATATGAAAAAGATAACTAATCCACGGGAAAAAGGGTCAAAAGATATGAAGAAGCATTTCACGAAGAAACACAAACGCCTAATAAAGAGATAAATATTTTTTTTACTGGCTACCAGGGAGGAGGAAACCTTGGTTTATAACATTTATGGGTATTTTTTTCCCCATTATGGCTGATTTCAAGCTACCAACCTGATATCACTGTACATGGAGTTGAGAAGAGATGCATGCAATCAGCTCTCATGAGCTAGTGTCAGTTGGTCCCAGCATATCACTGTCTCAAAGCCATTAGTAACCAGGGAGATTCAAATTAAACTATAATGACAACACGTATTATAACTACCAGATTGATAAAAGTAAAATAAAACAAAGCATTTTTTTTCATGTGGGGTAAACAATAATTCTTATTCATTACTGGTGGGAGTACAAATTAGTTCAAATACTTTGAAGCATAAGTAGGCATTACCTAGTAAAGCCAAACTTACTTTTTTTCAACTTAGCAATTCTATTCCTAGCAGGTAAAAATTACACATGTGGAGCAGGATACACGTACTAAAATGTTCTTAGCACCATTTATAACAGAAGAGAACAGAAATTTTTTTACTGTCCATCAAATGCAGAATGGATAATTACACTGTAGTATATCCACATTTTTTTGTACAAAGAAACAATGAGAAGACATGAACTAGCTAAACACTTCAAAGAGATGAAATGCAAAAACAAAATGTTGAGTGAAGAAAAGCAGGTCAGAATCATACATTTTTTTTATTTCTACATATATAAAGTTGATAAACAGGTAAAACTAAACAACATATTTTTTTTGAATATATACACAAGTACTAAAATTTTCAAGAAAATGGTTAACAATAATTTTTTTAAAGTGGTTCTCTCTGAGGGAAAGGGTGGGAGATGCAACTGGAAAGAAACACTGTGGGTCTTCAAAGGTACTAGTAATGTTTTATTTCTTACGTTGAAGGTGATTTTTTTCTCCAAAAGGTAAATAAATAAATAAATAACATAAAGAAAAAGTTATAATTTTTTTTAAAAGTATTGTTACAAAAAGAATCTGTTATCCTACAAATAGACACTTTTTTTTTAATTCTGTAACATCTTGATCAATGTCTCTTTAAGCAATCTCACGATTCTTTTTTTAAAAAAAAAGGTTTCCTTCTTTTTTTCCATTGATACTGGGTTTAGAAAATGTTGAATGTTGAGATGCTCATATTAATAGCTCTTTAAAGAGACTTTTTAAAGACTGTTTTCAGAGACAGGTTACTGGCTTAGAGTCTTGTTAAGAGAAATGGCATGAGAACCCGATTATGATAAAAGAGAGAAAAACTGAATTAATTATATTACCAGGCAACTTAGGACAAAAATGTTTCTCAGTTAAGAGCTGGAAGAGATTACAAATAACCCAAGCTTTTTTTAACCAAAAAACAATGAATAATTTCATGTGAACTTTCTTGAAAGTTATATTTTTTTAAATTAAAATATTAAACACTCTTGATTTTTCACTTCAAAAGTAACCGTTTTTTTTAATACTTTTGATATTGTGATAAATCTCAAAGTATTTTCATACTCAGGCTAAAGCTACATAACATAATCGCATATCTATTTTCAGAATGTAAATACTAGGTCACTTTTTTTAAATATGTAATATTCCTAAATATTGCTGCTTTGTCAACTAAATGTTTTCCTCTTGGCCTTGTGGTATTATCAAAGGGTGATGGGAACTTCAGCCTTCTTGTGGTTTTTTTTTAAGTGAACAGATGTGAGAAATAGTCTACTGACTTTTAACAGATTTCAAATTTTCTTTGGTAGTTTGCATTTCTAACACCAGTTTCATTTTCATGTGGTATATTTTTTTTATTTAACCTTTTAATGTTTAAATAAATAGTCATAAATTATTCAGATTTTTTTTTTGTTCTCTTAGAAACTGATTGGATTCGAGATATAAATAACCAGTTATGTTTATAAGTGAACAAATGTATGAATATTTATTTCAATTTATTCGATTTTCTACCTTAATTCAGTAAAGTAAAAATATATATGACTATTATAGTTTTTTGAAGCCTCTTCATTTTTTTTAGTATGTATTATATAAAAAAAATTGCATAAAAACTTTGCACTGTCCATTTTTTTTGGCTCATGCCTGTAATCCCAGCACTTTGGAAGGCCGAGGTGGGTGGATCACCTGAGGTCAGGAGGGCAGACCAGCCTGGCCAAGACGGTGAATCGCTGTCTCTTTTTTTATGCAAAAAAAATAGCTGGGTGTGGTGGTGGGTGTCTGTAACCCCAGCTTTTTTTGAGGTTGAGGCAGCAGAATCACTTGAACCTGGGAGGCGGAGGTTGCAGTTTTTTTAGACCACGCCATTGCACTCCAGCCTGGGTGACAAGAGCAAAACTCTGTGTCAACAACAACAAAAAGTTCACACTGGCTTCTGAAAAAAATTCAGTATTTTGCTATTGAAATTGGAAAATCATCTATTGGAAACTATTTTAGTACACCTTACATTAAAAAAAATTCAAACTCAGTTTCTTCCCATTAATTATCTAGGCATTAGGCAAACATTCTTTTTTTTTTATGCTTCCTTGAATGCTCTAATCAAAGAGCATACCCATTCCTAGACTTTTTTTCTCCCATTCCCATAAAACAAATTAGCAAGTTTAGAAACAAAAGAAAAAAACCAGTGTAATCAACTAAATGTTAAAGGGTTCCAGGACTTAACACCTGAATTGATTTTTTTTGACCGATGACCTAAATAAATTTGGGGCACATGCTTTTCCATCCCAAAGCCATCTGGATAAAGGAAGGCTCAAGACCTTTACATTACCCCCATCAGGACACAGCATCCTATCATTGAATAATAGAAGACAAACACTGACCTAGTTTAGAAGAGCAGATTTTTTTTAAATGAAAACAGGATACATGACAACGGCAAGGAAACCATGGTAACTGGTTTTTTTGACTGCTTTGCTTACTTTATTTTGGTCAGAATAATCAGCAAGCTGAGCCTTTAACTCTGTAATCTTGGCCTCTAACAGACGGATCACTTCTTCATAGTCCATTTCCATTCCATGTGCCTGTCTCTGCGCAGCTTCAGCAAGATGAATCCGACTACGCATTTTTTTTGTTTCTTCAACTACAGCTTTTGCTTCCTAAAGATTTCAAAATTAATGTTTTTTTAAAAATAGGTAAGAAATACTTCCGAGGTTTACAAAAAATATTTTCCCTTTTTTTTAAGTTACAATTCCAAAAAGTCAATATACATATTCTTTTTATTTTTCAATTTTTTTATTAATAGTTATGTTATGTTATTATATGAGGTAGTTGCCTGATCTTAGTTTTTTTTTTGTTGATTTCAGTATGGAAACTCTTGACTTCATATACCTAGCAGAACATTTTGAAAATAAAGGACGTAGAAGAGAGTTGAAAATGGAAAACAGAAGAATAAGAATGGGCTCAAAAGATAAAAAGAGTAGGCTACAACAAAACTCAAGTAGGTGGTAGGACTCATGTTCTAAAAAGGCTCTTGCAGTGTCATCAGATGCTGCGGAGAGATTTGTAGTAGTGTTATGGGGCTTCTCCATGGACCAAGTTCTGGACGCCAAAGTTATCTCAGGGACATCAATCTATCTACTACTTCTCACTTTCGGTTTAAGTCAAAAGGTAGCTTTTTTTAGCAAAGTACATAATTATGTTGTTGAATGCAATGCTCACAAGACATTTTTTTTTTACATGTTATGTCTCAGGTGCTTCACGTGTCTTTTTTATCTTAATCTTTTTTTTTTTATTGAGAGAAAGACATTACCAAAAAACATTTCATACACAAGCAAACAGACTCAGAGAAGTTATATGACCTGTTCAAGAACACACAGCCAGAATCTGAAACTAGGTCTGCCTGACTGCATCATTAATGCTGTCTTTCTACTGTTTTACTCTGCTTCTAAATGAAAAAACAAAAACTCCTCATACAGCTATACCCTCCACCTTAGGAAGAGGATTTTTTTTCCAAAACCACTTGCTCTCTCAAAATGTAGTTGGAGGGAAAAAAATGTACTTTGGGACTGGGTCAAAGAAAGTCCCCCAGGACACCAATATAATTTAATATGGCTTTTTTTATACTGTAAACCGTTTCTTTTTATTTACTTGATGCAGAAATCTCTTTTCTCTGCGATAGAACTTTCTGCTCCAATTGCCATGGCTAATACTAAACTATGGCTATTTTTTTTTTTTCAGAGCTGTTAAGGGACATTTGCTTTTGTTTGAGCCTAAATACTTTTTTTGTGCTAGGAGGGTTAGGAACGCTGGCATATTCTTAAGGGTCAGTTTTTTTTTTTTACATTCAATACTGATTTATTAAGTATTTACTATGTGTCAGGTTCTGTTTTTTTTTCTGGGGGTAGACACTAAACAATATAGACAAAAAGCCTTCCCTCTTGCTCTTTGGAATTTACACTCTAAGTTTGGGGAGATAGGCAGTAAATCAGGGATGAGACGTAAATGTCTCATTGAGAAGATAACTGACCAGAGACCTGTAGGAGGAATGGAGTCTTTTTTTCCCAAGGAGAAGCTTTCTAGGAAGAGGGAACAGTTTTCATGAAGGCCCTGAGATGGAGTTGTGCTTTACATCTTCCAGAGAACAGCAAGGAAGCCAGTGTAGCTTTTTTTGGAGTGGTAGGGTCCAGGAAGAGGGGAGTAGTAAGACGTGAGGGCAGAGTGGTAACAAGAGTGAATATAGGGATGGAGGTAGAGTGAAGTGGCAGAGGCTAAGTTTTTTTGTAGGCTGTTGCAAGGACTTTCGTTTTACTCAGGGTGAGACAGGAAATGATTGGAGGGTTTTGAGCAGAGAATCAATGTGATCTGACTTAAATTTTAAAAATGTTACTTTTGCTGCTGTGTTGAGAACAGACTGTAGATGGTGGGCAAGGCTGGAAGCTTTTTTTAGAAAAAGGAGACAGGCAAAAAATTAACTGTAGCTTCTATAAGGGTGATAGTGGTGGAGTTGGTGTGAAGCAGTTAGATTCTAAATATAGTTTGAAGGTAAAGTTTTTTTGATAGTTCATCAATAGCATTTATTTAGCAGCCACTGCATGTAGCAAATTTTTTTTTGACAAAAATACAAAAGGGTAAAAGATAACCTCTCCTTTTCTGTCTCAACTTAGAACATCAGGTATGACTTAGATAAATGGATGAATAAAAAAGGATGTTACATTTTTTTACCATGTGGACAAAGGAAGAGAGACAAGAAGAAATGTGTCACACTGGGTTTTTTTACTAGATCAATTATGATTGGAGTAGAGACTTGCTATAGGGGAGTAATGGACAAAAAAAGGTCGTGCCAAGGGAGGGAGTCAGGCTCTGATAGAAATGGCAGGCTTTTTTTGAAAGGAGCTTGAGTCTGAAGAAGACTTGAAGGTTTCTGAGCAGAAAATGATATGAGAAAACAGTGCTTTAGAAAGCTAAATTTGGCAGCAGGGTGCCAGGTGGAGAGATGTGGTCAACCGATTGCCTTCTATGCCCTTGACTCAAAGAACTTTATTTTTTTTTTTCTGAAAGTAATTGTTTTATAATAAAAGAACACTTTTGGAAAGAAATATTTTTTTAAGATAGGTACATTAACCTAGTCTACCACATCAGTCAATTTCATTCAGATGATCAAGAGAGTCTCTAGTGACACAGCTGGATCAACTTCACACCGGACTGCTGCCGTGCATACAGGAGGTAATGGCTGGCTATGTGCCAGTACTATTCTCAATGTTTTTTTTTTTTCATCTCAGTTTATCCACACACTGCCATGGATGTGTCTATTATTATCCTTTTTTTATTATCTGCATTTTATAGACAGGACATTGATGCACAGGAAAGTTAAGTAACTAACTCAGAATCACAAACCTAATAAGTGACAGAGCTAAGATTTGGCAGTCTAGTTATAAAGTTCACGTTCTTGGCTACTATGCTGTACTACCCTGCCTACTACAGAAAATATTTTTTAAAAATCACTTTTAGATGACAGTATTATCAGTGCCCAGTCCTGGATTTTTTTATGATGTGGTCATTATAATAGGTGTATTTGAAGCTGCTTCACTCTCCATTTTTCATCCCCCCCCTCAAATCAGCTAGAAAAAAAAAAAAAAAAAAAAAGCCTCTAAAGAGAAAGAGGAAGGGCAGAAAATTCTCCATAGCTGCAATGAAGAATAACTAATTTGATGATTTGTCTTCTTCACACTCACTTCATGCAGCTTTTATTCCTCTATAAAAACAGCACTTTTATTTTTGTTCAAAGAATGCTAGTTAATTAAATGAAGAATCTGGATGGAATTTATATAGCCATTATTGTGCACTGATGGTAATACAGTGTGAAATGTAGTTGGGTGGTAAAAGATGCAGAGGTTTTGATGCTGAATAAATTCATGCTATTTCTTTTGTAAATATATAACTGTCAGGTTGGTGAATGTGACCCCTTAGCAAAGTTCTAGCCCAGTTACCACTGAATGGCTGTTTAAAAGATTAGTGCATTGAAATGATGACTTTTAGAGGAAGCAGTAAAGAAAAGATAACAGCAGTGTGCTGTATTTAGCAATACAAGATCACATAAATCCATTTTCTCTTTTCCTCCCAGGCTGTCTTCTAATAAATAACTGTACAGCCTCCTATGTCAGTAACAATTGAGCCAGAATTTTCCTGGTACCTCACCATGAGACTGAAATCCTATCAGGGAAAATGCTGTAGTCTATTTACTGATTTACTATGTACTAGATAGAGTTCAATTCAGTTTAGCAGGTTAGATAATAAAAGAAAAACGAAGATATAGTAGTAAGTCAGAAAATCCACAAAAGCATTATGCTTTTTAATACTAAGCAGTGTGAGCAAATGTACTAGAAGGCAATCCTGAATTATGAAGTAAAATCTCTAGCTTTTTTTTATTTTTTATTTTGGCAACACTGAGGAAATGTCTTCAACTTACACTGTCCCTTGATAAAATGAGGTTTTTCTGCCTCACGATTACATAATGAATCTTTAAAGAAAATCAGACCAAAGTCTTTTTTGAAAACGTAATCTGAACTAATGAAAATCTTTGTAGGCTACCAATACTTTGGACTTTTGTTGGGACAAAGCACAGTAACAGCTCACACACAGGACAATAAATATGCTATGTGTTCTTCCACATACAGCACTTTTCCCCCACAAGGTAACATGATCTAGAATGAAAAAGCATGGGCTTTGGATAGGACATAACTAGGTTAGAATCTCAGATCAGAATCTTACTTTATAAAAATTTTCTGGCTGTGTAATTTTCTAAGACTCAGTTGCTCATTTTTATAATGGGAAATCACACCTATTTTATTAGTTCAAAACTACTCTCACAAAAGAATTGAAGAAACTACTGTAGTTCTTGGCACAATTTTTTCCTTTTCCTCTTTCTCACCTTGAAAAAAATATACATAATCACCTGTGTGATCAGAGAGCTAGACAAAATAATTTATTAAGGGTTTTCCTGAGGCACTCAATTAGTAACACCAGCTCTTGAATTTTGGAGAGTTGTTTGGAAACACAATTTGCATATGTATTTTTTAATGTTAGCAACAATCATGCAAAGCCCTTTCCTCTAGTTACGAGTTGTAATGAATGGCTCCCTACAGTAGAAGGAAAAAGCATTAATTGCAGTGGCCCATCTGTAATTAGGCTAACACATTCACATCACCAACTTTAAAAGTTCTGCAATTTTTAAGTTCATCAGTAAATCTTTCAAAACGTCAATAGGTGACAGGAGAAAAATGTGACTGCAAAGAGAAATTGTTTTTGTGCAATGTAACCTATGCTACCAAGCCCTAAAGAATACTTCTCTTATCAGCTTCCTACATCCACTCTTTGGAAAGCCCTTCTTGGTCTTGGTACTATTACAGCTTGTGAACAAGATTAAGGGTTACTGCAGGAAAAGGGCTATTGAATTAAAATGCTTAAAAGTAAGTTATATCTAGCTTCCTTAACTTATGAGTCTGATTTGTTAAAATATATATAATATACCTATCAATGGGTAATCCCAAAATGCTTTGCAGATATTGACAAATGAAGGTATAAATCACTCCTCAGGCATGAATGTGTATGGGGGAGAATATGAATTCGTAGAACTTTTTAATAAACCTCTGACATATGC